AACATAGCGTGGGGATTATGCCTCCCTCGCCGCCACGCCCGCCTCGTAGCGCCTGCAGCCCTGCCACCCACCTCCTCTGGCCATCTCCCACCTCTGGCCACCTCGGCCCACCTCGGGCCACCTCGGGCCACCTCGGGCCACCTCGGGCCACCTCGGGCCACCTCGGGCGCCTCGGCGAGGCCCTGTGGTGGCGCACACGCTCAGCGGTGCCGCCACGTCTTCCTCCCGCCACAGACCACCTCCTCGGTAGCTACGTCCCCACCGCGGAGTGGCAGCCAAAGATGCGTCCGCTCCCGGCCAACGCGCAGACGCGCGGCCCGGTGGTCGCGCCGGCCAACGTGCCGCAGCTGCCGACGAGGGAGGAGTACGAGGCGACGCGGCGGCTGCAGAGGCACCGCTGTGAACGGCGTCTCTGCACAGCCGCACCTCTGGGTAGGCGACGCGGTTGCTGCAGAGGCAGATGCGCGAGTCGGCCGGCGGCGGCGGCGGCACGGCGCCGGCGGCAATCGCAAACGGGGGCACGATCATTGCGGACGCCTACAGCGAGTGATCTGTGGGCGGAAGGGGCCCGCCTCCCCCACCGCGCCGTGCAGCCTTGCGCCAGCGCAGCACACTCTCCATGCTCGCATAGTCGCGCCTCTCGCGCGCCCCCTCGTGCACATGACGCGCATCCTGCGCACAGCGGAGACACGCGGAGCGCTTCCTCCTCGCCGGGGTGTCGGCGGCGTGTATCGCCGGCGTGTGCCCGCGGGGCGCAACCCGGCGGGCTCCGGTGTTCTGTTGTCAATGGTCACACGTCGGCGCCGGCCGCGCCTGCCGCCTCCGGATCGTATTACTTACAACACCAAAAAAGAAGCCACCCCCGGGACGTGACTCGTGTGTCCTAAGAGCAATGGAGCAGGGCTCGCGCTACCACCACTGACAGGCTCCGGACAAGGCTGCTCGAACGAGCAGCAACGCCAGCAGCCAGGCAACGAGAGAGCACTACAAGCCAGTGATTGGGTCTGGGCCTGCTTTGGGAACAACAACGCCGGTATTGGCGCCGACGCTCCCGGTGCCGCCGTAGTGAAGCAGTTGGCCGACAGATTCCACCACCGATTTCGCGACGCTACCAATGATTCCGCCGCGCATAACGAACCGGAGGATGTGCAACATGTGGATGAAGGCAATCATGCACCCCCACCTCCAAAGCCGCTGCGGCCATGTCTCGGCCTGCGAAGCCACGAGGAGGGTCGGGGTTCAATGAGGCCTCGCGCAGGAATTGGGTTCTGGTGGTTGGTCGTGCAGATGGTCCTCGCTGCATCTACGCGACCCGCCGCCCGCTCCTCGGTAGAAAGCAGCATCTTGGCAGGCATGCCAAAGAGCCCTTTCCGAGGGGCAAGCTCGGGCGAGGCGGCGTGAATCTGGCTGCCTTTTGCGGGCTTGCTCGCGGCGCGCTTCTTCGGGCTGGACTTGCCCATTGCGGGCGACGCCACGGACCGTCGTATTTTACGAGTTGCGGAACGGCCGCACGCCGGCCGAGCTTCCGACCCTCGGCCCGACATGCTGTCGCTGGCGGGCCTGCTTCTGCCCGCCCTCCTCTCTGCGGTACCAACAGGACGGACCCCCCTCTGGATCAACGAGTGGGTTGAAGACGCGGCGGATGACAAACTGGGCGGTGAGATTATGGATGGCATCGCGGGGGGGATATCGCAAGCGGAGGACTTCCTCGATGAGCAGGGCATCTCTGTCGAAGACCAAGACTGGTGCAGCCATGCACAAAAGCTTAAAAAGGCACTCGACTCGCTCACCAAGTCGGCCGAGTCAATCGACTATGATGAGACTCTCAATGACATCTCGTCGCCAGAGTTCTACGCGAGTACTACGATCTCGCTCTGTCTCGGCGGAGCGCTTCTCCTCGCGCCGATCCTCCTCGGCCCAAGTTGGCCGTCCTACCTCATTTGGATCGTCGCAGCGCTTCTCGGTGCCATAATCGGCAACAAGCTGATGACTGCGACGGGCCTGTTGAGCGGGCACTTTGTCAATGAAAACGAGGACGGGCCAAAGCCGATGCACTGCGTCCTCGGCATTGCAGGCGTTGCGATTTTCACACTCGTCCTCGCGTTTTGGGCGCTCGCACAAGTCAAGACGGCTTTCTTTTGTCTCGGCGCGATTCTCGGCGGCTACCTAGCGAAACAGGGCATTGGGCTCGCCAAGCCGTGGCTGGAGGAGGAGCAGGGCCTCGATCTGGATAGCAAAGACAACCAGTACTACATCTGGGGCACAATAGCAGTCGCCTCGCTCTTGGGTGGCTGCTTCATCGCGGGGAAGAAGGACGCCATAATCGACACGGCGGCAGGCCTGTTCGGAGCGTTGCTGGTCGCTCAGGGCGTCCTGCTCTACGCGGAGACGTGCGAGCCAATCACGGACTGGTTGGACGAGGCGGGCATGTCGCTCAACAAGTTCCACTCGTACTGGTTCGCGGGGATCGCAGCCGTGCTCTTCCTCCTGCGCGCCTACCTGTCAAAGGGTGGGGGCGGCACGAATGAGTTTGGTCAGAAGAAGCCGCTGGTCTTGGCCTGAGGCCTGTTCGGAATCCCCTAACGCCGAAAAGGGACGACTGGGCGAGGTGAGCACCTTCGTGCTGTCAACAGAGCCCTTTCATGTGTCGCTCGGTTCGGCAGCTCCGACACAGCGCCACCTCGAGGAGCTTGGCAAAGGGGCCGATGGTTAACCTCCTTTTGCTTGGGCTACTCGAGTAGTTCCATTTCACTGTGGCACAGCTCGCGTTACAAAACCTTGATTTTGACCATTGCGCGAAAAAGGTACATCTCGGTGCCTTCCAGAGGCAGCTGCGACCCCGCCGAGTAGACGA